TATTGGCTTGTGAAATATACAAATACTCCTAAGCCAAGTACTTTTAGAGATTTGACAACTACATACTCCGTAGTATTTAAGAACAGGGAGTATATAGGTTACAACCAAAGCAAGAATATTAAATACAATGCATGCTATAGAGCATATAGCTGTGATAAGTGTATCACATACGGTGTCTGATGTATGCTATAAAGCCTAGAGTAGTACAATTTATAGATCAGCTGCATTCAACTTTCAACAGCATTCAACCATCATAAAAATGAACATGTGTCGTACCGTGAGTAACTTGAATAATATTGACTCTACATCCTCTCCAACATAACCTGCCTAGAGTGGAAGAGAAATTCCAGTTAGAAATATTACAAGATTAATGAAAACTGCAAGTCATTTTTTGTTTGTAATTTCTGTAGGATTTGTTGAAGTTGAAACTCGGAGAAGAAAGAGTGAAAGACACTTATGAATAGAAACATTAAAAGCCATAATAATGTTTTCAAAACTCCAACATGTCCAAGACTCAAAAGAAACCCGTTAAAGTAAGGTGAAGCTGCAGCAAACCTGCCTGTGTTAGTGTTGTTGCATCCGCAATGACAAAAGGCACATTCACAAGACGGGCCAATGTCTTTGCAAGTAACGTCTTGCCTGTCCTTTCATTCATGTGAATCATAGTCATAAAATCAAGGAACACATTCAGAGCATTTCATTACTGAAATATGGCAGAAACCATACCAAAACTACAGGAGAAATCCAGGTTGAAAATCAGGTATAAACCTTTCTACATAACCTAAACGTAGAGAGGTGCAAGAAGAGAATGAGTTTTTACCTGAGCCAGTTGGACCCACCAATAGAACGTTGCTCTTATCAAGCTCAACAAAATTGGTATCACAGTTTCCATGGTCATTCACAGCTTTTCCCCCTTCTTCACCTGCCCTGGTATCATATAGTGTATCAATCGCATCCTAGAAACTAATCCACGTGTAAAGTACACCCTCTGTCCCTACATAAACCCCACCTATGTTTTTCACGGTCTCCAATGATCATCTTTTCGTGCTATAAAATAACATTCAATCTGTCCCAAAAAGAATTTTTTGCATGGCCAAATTGTACCTTCTTTCTATGCCTTTATTTTTTTCTCATTGTTAACATAAAATAGTCATGTCATCCATAGTTTGTAAGGTGTCGCCTAGGCGATAAGGCGCTGTCTCTAGGACGCCTTGACTGCTCGCCTTGCCTAGAAAACCTTAAGGCGATAAGGCGCTCGCCTAGGCGTCGCCTTTTCTCGCCTTAACTCGCCTTGATGCCTTGGACCCCTTTAAAAGTTTGAAAAAACCCATTTTTTAGTGCAGCCCATTTTCTTTTAGTGTAGCCTAATAGACTTAAACTTATCTTCTCTCTCGGTCTTCTCTTTCTCGACCAAGCTTCTTTAAAATGTATTAGACATATATATGTATGTGTGTGTGTGTGTATGTATGTACGTATGTATGTCGCCTAGTTGTCGCCTAGGCGTGCGCCTAATCGCCTAGGCGATATGAAGGTACATTGGCGCCTCGCCTCGCCTCGCCTTGCCGCCTTACAAACTATGATGTCATCTCATCTTTTATAGAACTTTTTGATGTAGTTTATAGCTATAAAAAATTTATTTTTTAATTGCACACCAATTTTTAAATAACTGGAATTGAAAAATACTTTAATCAAGCATCGCAAATCGCAACAGGAAACTATTTTTTTGGAATGGAACTGGAAAAGAGTATAATTTATGAAAATTGGAGGTCAAATTTAACAAATTTTGACTTTGAAAAGGCTAAGATGAACTTTAAGGGCGGGTGGAGTATTAGCTAAGCATAACAGCAGTCAGCAGCTAAGTGTGTATTCTATCATGTGAAAAAACGGTATCATATTTCAATTCAAGGAATCAGATTATCCTGGCAGTAACTATGTACGACATTATCAGCCATGTATAAGAGGGAAGAGTGGAACACGTTCCAGAAATGAAGGATACAGACCAGACTTCAACATTTTAAGATCTTCTTTATAAAACAGAAAAGAATGTTTGGAACATTTTGAACTTGAAGTATATCAAAGCAGAACCCTAATTCTTTTTTACCGACTAAATAAACATATATACTGCGTATTTTAACTTTAAAACACTAAAATATAGGGAAATTGTTGAGTGGCAAGAAACTTGCTGTGGCAGTTGCAGAAGACTACCATTGAATGTTGTACTCAACTTAATTAAGAGTTTGTTATTGAAAATACCATGAAATGTATCTACTTAAGTGTCAACCGATTAAAAAAGACCACCCAACTCACCGTTGTGTTGACGAGGCATCATATATTCTTTTGTAGTGATTGTAAACTGCTACGGACAGCACCTGCAAATAGTTTTCCAACAAAATCTATAAGACCATATGAAAAACAAAATTATAGTTGTATTCCTTATGTATGAGAAAAAATCACTCCTTTTAAGGCCGACCCCTAATACAAAATGAATCAATCATCAAAAAATTGAAATACGGAATACCAATTAATGGTCACCTTTTTTGCTCTATCTTGCCCAACTACAAACTCATCAAGCCCTTTACATATCTCTTTCGGGGTAGGCAACTTCTTCACCATGTTTAACCCTATCCACTCTCCGGCAGACCCCTCTGCACATTCCTCCACCTCATTCTCACTACTGCTGCTGCTGTTCCAGCTATCACTACTACTGCTACTCTCCCCAACATCACTACTGCAACTATTATCACTGTAAGTCCTCAACTTCTCCCAAATCTTAATGGAAGATCTTCCGTTCTCGATACCAATGGCCTTGTTTCTGTTATTTTCCCTCTCTCCAACCTGGTCCCCCTTAACCCTTCCAATCTCAATGAAATTCCCCTGCAATGGCTCCAACCTGGAAGGACGGAAATAGATGGCAGTCCGGCAATGTGGGCATAAATTGAGGGCATGGTAAATTCCGGTCGGGGCAGGCGTGATGGACAAAGGACGATTGGAGAAGAGGAGGGTCATGAGCTTGGAGCACCGCGGGCAGTTCACCTCCGCTTTTATCTGGTCGTAGTTATCCGAACTCCCTTCCCACTTGCACCTCCGACCAAACCCTATCCCCAGCGCCCCATTCGTGACCGGAGGAGGGAAGCGGATGCGGCCAGGTGCTGAGAATAACGGCGGCTTGGGGAGGGGCAAGGGAAAGGATGAATTGGAGTGGAATTCGGAAGAAGCGAATGACATGAAGGGAGTTTTGAAATGGAAATGGTAGCGGAGCTTTGTTTTGCCGCTGTACCTGAAAATCGCAGGCATTGTTTTCCTTCTCCGATTCGGCTCTGCTGTTGAGCTCAAGAGAGGTTAGTCATCTGCTCCACGTTTCTGTCCTTTCTTGGGAAGATGAAGTTTTTGGATAAAGATGCTCCTAATTCATTTTTTTTTTGTTTTTTGAGTCGTGGGCATACAAGCCGAGTGAGCAAGTACCGAACCGATACCGAATGTTCCCGAAAAAATCGAGAATACTGAACCGAAAAATACCGAACCGAAAAAGTATCAAGATAAAACTGAACCATACCGAACCGAATGGTCGGTACGGTATTTGGAAACGGTACGAGGAGACGTTTCATACCGAAAATCCCGAACCGAACATATACACTAAAATATTATAAAAAATAATACCCCGGATTAATATTTTTATATTCTTTCACTAAATAATACTCTGGGTAATTTTTTTAAAAAAAAAAAATTGGTTCAAGTTCTATTATGTGTAAATTTTACTTTTATTTGAGTTTTAATTTTTGTGTATGAACATAAAAGTATTCACAAAAATACGAAATACTCCTTTATTGTCGTTCATTTTTTTAGTTTGTGAAAGATAAACTAAATTTTGATACGCGTCGCTTGTATTTAAATATTCATTTTTTTAATTTTTCATGTTTTTTATTTAAATTCACTTTTTAATTTCAAAAATAAAGGAGCATTGTTAAATTTTGACGTGTAAAGTAGGTATGCGTATTCATTCCGATTTATACCGAAACCGATACCGAACCATCCCGAACCATACCAAATCGATATATTGGGATCGGGATCGTTACGGAGTAAAATCCCATACTGAACCGAAATATTTGGTACGGTATCGGTACGAGCTAAATACCGTACCATACCGTACCATGCTCCCTACAAGCCAATGCCAATGTGTACAAATCTAAACAAATTTAATCAGATGAGATTAGATTCAATGTCTAGTGACTTATTATTATTGTAGTTGTTACTATTATTATGTATTATTATTGCAATCTATCATTTGATAGTCCTTTCACAATTGTTAATGTCGAATTTGAAGATAGTGTTAATGACATAAATCTGTTAAGCCATAGTTTGTTTGAACCCAAATTCTAATTTCCACACCCACCACCAGGTATCGTGCAATCAGGATTCGAAGGTAGTGTTTTTAATAATTATATATATAAATTTCTGTTTTTTTTTTGAATTTATGAATAAATGTAATAATTTGTAGCATAAAAAACTTTATTCATGTTTTGTAGTATACATTTGTTATGTAAGATGCAGAAGAATGTACTCCTTAATATTTTGTAGCATAACAATCACATTTTCTAATGATTAGATTTTTGTATAATACTACTCTCTCTTTACTTCAGAGTATATTGAATATCAAAAAGTAAATGCTAAATCTTTTTAATTATTGGTTATTGTCAATAATTTTTTATTTTAATGTATATATGAATTGATTATTTTTATTTTATAAATTTAAAAATTCATGTATTATAAACTTTTAGAACAATGAGTGTCTAGGACTCTAGGCATAACCTATTTTAGGCATTTTCTAATGTTTCTTTATTATGTCTACATAATCTTCTTATTTGTTTTTTCGTAAGTTTATAAATTTTAATCATAATATATAAAATAATACACTTTGTTTTGATATAAATATAATATATTTAGTTTTCTTCAATCTATTTTTATAACTTATTATTATTGAAACAATTTAGATCAGACGAAATCTGATAAAAAACACATTTTAATATAATTGCATTTAAAGAAAATCAAGTCCTTAGTGTAAAAGTGAATAGGACTAGCTTTATTGATATATACTAACCCATCCATCCTCTGCTTGCTAGCAAGTAGCAATGGCAGCCTCTGCAAGCGCTCTCACCCCATTATCATCTCTCTCAATATCCAACCGCCTCTACACCCGCCACCGCCACCACACAACCTCCGTCTTCTCACTTACACTCAAACCCTCCTCCGGCTTCACTCTCTTCACCCGCACAAACCCTCCCGGTCTCGCGCCCGTCAGGGCCGCCCCCTCCTCCGACATCGACACCACATTCTTCGATACCGTCGATCCGGATGAAATTACATCCTTCGACCCTCCCCTCCCGCCCGAAGGGTTCGTTCCGCCGCCGTATTACGACGAAGGGCCTGAGGAGTCGGAGGAGGAAATTGGCAGGGCGTACGAGGAGATCTACGGCCCGGCTTACAGCGGGGTGACCTATCTGGGCAACGATTTGGGTGTAATGGACTCTAAGGGGAAGAAGACCTCCGGTTTCAGGAACAAGAGGGAGAAGATCAGAGATGGGTTTGAGGAGAAAGTGGTGCAGGTCCGGCGGGTGACTAAGGTGGTCAAGGGCGGGAGACAGCTCAATTTCAGAGCAGTCGTGGTGGTCGGCGACAAGAGAGGGCAAGTGGGTGTGGGTGTTGGCAAGGCCAAAGAAGTGAGTGGAGCTGTGCAGAAATCTGCTTTGAATGCTAGGAGAAACATTGTCACTGTTCCCTTGACTAAATATTCCACTTTCCCTCACAGGTAATATTACTTGCTGGTTTTTTTCTTTCATAATTCAGTCTTCATAAATTTTTTGAATGTGATGTTTTACTTAGCAGGCAATGAAATTGTTTATCAAGTGCTTGTAGTATCTGTGTGGATTGTGTTGAGCTATACTGATATTTTGCATTCTTTGTACACTGGAGTTTTGAATTTAGATCATGGAGTTTGGACAAGGTTTAGGGCTTGTTTGGTTTGAGGATAGAGGAGAGGAGGGAAAATGCCGGTAATGCCCTATCATTTGGTTAGATGGATTTGGAATCTGGGACATCATTTTCCTTCCACTCCAATCCCCTCCAACCAAACACCATCCCAAAAATTCTCATCCAGTTCCTTTGAACAAATTACTCTCTACCCACTCTAGCCAAACATGCCCTTAGGATGTAGTATTTGGATACAAAGTGCTCCCTCCGTCTCCAAAAGAATGCCATTACTACAAATTACAGTCAAAGAATCTCGACTGAAATTATTATCAATTCATTTTATCTTACGATTGGTGTAGAAATAAATAATACCCAAAGTACATCAAATTATCTACAAAAGAAGATGCCACACGAGTATATTATTTTGTCAAATGATTACGAAAATAGGCAAAGAAAGAGGATGAAGTTTGACGCGTGAGTAGCGGACATTGTCATTCATTTGGGAGCAAAGGGAGTAAATGTTAACCAAGCAAATGAGGTGAGGGGAGCTTTCCCTCACCTTGAACCAAACACACTCTTAGAGATGACAGCAGAATCTGTTTCCATTTGGTGAGCGAGTAAGCATTATAAATGGATTTTATGGTTCATGTATATGTGTTCAAAGCTGTTTGGAGTTTGAGGTAATACTGAGGTGGATTCCTAGACCCGTTTGGTTCAAGCGAATTCGGCTGAAATGGCTTTAATGAGATGGATTTGCAGATATTAATCTGAAACAATTGAATAGTCTAGCTGTGCGTAATTTTCTAAAAAACGAAGGTTAAAGTGTTAGTTATTCTTTATAGCCAGGCAAGTAACTATATGAATTTACAAGGCTCTGAACGTGATTGCATTTGTTGCTCTAAGACCTTTTAAGCATTCTTTTGTTTGCCTCATGGCTCAAAATATGATGATATGTGAGTTTTTTTTTCGGGGGTTTGAGGTTTGGGGGGGGGGGGTGGGGGTCCAGTCAGCATGCATAAACATGTGTAACTGTCTCGTAATTTATTTGTTGTCTTAACTGAATTTAACATGCTCTCTACGTACTCCGTATGTAACTCACAAAAGTTCTCTGAACAAATTCCAACCACACATTTCTAACTTTTTAACACTCTTCGTGAACTCCATGAAAGTCAAACCATGAAGTCTTTTATGTGACGGAGGGATTACTCAAACTTCTTTGGGAAACATATATTCAAAAAATACTTCTATAACAGTCGATAAATATGATGAAAATTAGCATTTTTTCTAAGGGTGTTGCTAACTCCAAACCAATTTTGGCTAAATCCACCACCCCATTTATGGTAAATAGGCAATTTTACCCTAAAAAATGCAAAAGAGGGAGATTAGATGCATACCAACTTTTAAGGGCAAAACCATCCATTTAACATAAAAAAGGTGGATCTAGGCAAAATGGGGGTGGATATAGCAACACCCTTTCTGAAAACAATGAAAATCAGCATGTTTTTTTAAAAAAAACTTCGAATCGTACACTTTATTTCTTGGGTCGGCGGGAGTAGTCCTGACCAACAATTAAACTGGCAGATCTGAAGCAAAGTATGGAGCAGCAAAGGTGATGCTCAGACCGGCGGCGCCGGGAACCGGTGTGATCGCCGGTGGTGCGGTAAGGACTGTCTTAGAAATGGCAGGGGTAGAGAATGCCTTGGGGAAACAGCTTGGGAGCAACAACGCGCTGAACAACGCCAGGGCAACCGTGGAAGCCGTGCTGATGATGAGGCAATTCAGTGAGGTTGCGCAGCAGCGCGGCATTCCCATGGAAGAGCTGTGGAAATGAAGATAGATATGTATGTATGTATGCCATCTTTTCCATTGTTTTTTTAAATTAACTTCTCCTGGCAATCTCTGGTTCAGAGTGGATGGCCTTTGAAAGGGTTGGTTCTCTAATTCTCTTCCCCAAGTGGTGGTCTCATTCATCAATGTGTAAATTTTTGTGCTACCAAAAATGTGATTTTTCTTTTTCTTGCTTTGGGGTCTAATGCTTTGATGTGTTACTCCCAATTTTAACAGCCTTCTATTGTGCCAGTGTAAAACATGGTGTGCATGTGGTATAAGTCTACAACTATTGAAATTTTACATAAATTTGAAATTTAATTTTCTGAACGTGTATTGTTCAACTATTGAAATTTTACATAAATTTGAAATTTAATTTTCTGAACGTGTATTGTACGGGTACGAATAAGTATGGATTATGTTAAAAGAGTTACTCGGAGGTAACTCTTATGGAGTACTTGTACTGTTTTTTTAAAACCATACCAATTGGGACGGAGAGAGTTCAAAAATTCGAAATACTGTATAATTTTCTGACCATGCATTGCACCAATACAAATCAAGAGCCCATCTTTTTAGCTCATGTTTATGCAACGAAAGGGATATCCTACATATTGAGTGTTTCTTTGATGCACCTTAGATGCATATTATTTTTGTGAACCTTCTCATATTAAACATCATTTTTAATTAAAAAAAACAATAACTTATTCAATTAGTAAAGAAATATTTATTTTGCTCATATATAGTAAATTTAGGTTCACCATAGAATTTGTCCAACACATTAGATGCTAAGAAAACGAGATGATACAACATATGATCCTACAATATATAGAGTACTAATCTTCATAAAATGGGTGCGTACTTTAAGACCACGAAAGAGTTGGCTTCTTTTTTTCCGATTGAATTTTGAATCATGCAATTTTTATCAGATATTTTTGAAGGCCACGTAACTTGTGCAAGTTAGATTCAATCACGTGCCCGAGTACTTGACCCATCTAAAAAATAGCAGACTTGGACTTGATATTTTAAAGTACGGGTCGAACTCGGGGCTTGTGTTAAAGCACATGTACCGAGCGGCTCGAATTAATAATAATAATAATAATAATAATAATAATAATAATAACAACAACAACAACAATAACTATGATAAAATAATAACAATATCAACACTAATTATTACTCTGGATTGTTATATACATGCAAGAAATGAAAGAATTAGAACTAGATTTAAATGAATACATCTTTACTTGAAATGTGTATCAAAACTTAGTTTATACGAGTATTTCCCAAACTAAAAAACAAATGATAACAAAATGGATAATGTTATTTGTATCCCAAGAATTTGTACCGCACTAATATTTTGTTTTGGTGTAATGTTAATTTTTATTAACGCACCAACACTTTGTGTCAGTGTAAATTTTTGTTAACGCACCAATATTTTGTGTCTATGAATAATCAAAATGTAAGTGCATATCTTTAGTGTACAAATAAGATATAAATTTTGGAATATATGTAGCATGCTTTTAACAAAATTAGGATAAAGCTATTTGTACCCTAAGTTTTTGTACCCCGTAGGTTTGCACCAACACTTTGTGTTGGTGTAAAACTAATTTTTATTAATGCAACAACACTTGGTGTCTTTGTAAATTTTTGTTAACACACCAACACAAGTGTCAGTGTAAACCATCAAAATGTTTGTGTATAACTGTGGCATACAAATGAGGTATAATTTGTGAGGTAAGTGTAGCATATATGGTCCAAATTTTTATGTTCATATACAAAAAATTACGGAGTAAAACTTGACGCAAACTCGACTCGGCCATCAAAGTCTCCCCTACTTCAGGAAGTGGAATTAATACAATGGATTCAAAAGCATCAAACCTCTCTTGTTCGAAAGAATCGAAACACATCGAAATGGTACCAGCCGTACTTAATAATAGAAGGATTTGGCAGAAATATGTAAAATTGTCCCTTCTAAAAAGATTATTCCAAAATAAATGGGCAATAGTTAGGAGAGGTGAGGTAAGTGTAGCATGTGGCTCGTCCGTGATAACTTCTTTTGATTTGCTTGAACTAGCGGACCGAAGAATAAATGAGTGTTAGAAGTGTTAGAGCCGTGAGACTTCGAGAAGCTGCCAGCTGGCGGCGGCGCAGAGAAGGAAACGCGCCACAGTCGATACAAGTGTACACAGTCTTTGTGTTTGACTGAAATTAAAATGCTCTACTCCGTATTTTTGTAAATATTATTTTAAAAATATAAAAGTAATTAGGCGACGCAATAAATCCAAAATTAGAAAAGAAAATGCCGACTAATAAATAAATAAATAAATAAATAAAAGCGGAGTCGCAAAAATGGTTAGGCTGTGATGAGATGTTGCCCCCTCCCCCCCTTCTTCATCATCTCCACAGACGACACTTCCAAAGCTCTCTCCCCCCATAAAAAGCTCCGCCATTGTCGGAGTCAGGAGGCTTTCTCGCGGGCCGCCACCATGAAGTTCAACCCCAATTCCGGCTCCCCTTCCCAAACCCTAACGGCGGCCACCGCGTCGTCCAACGACCCCCGCTTCCTCGTCCGCGAGACTCTCCGGATCAGCGCCAACCTCGCCTCCTCCGCCCCTCCCGCGCCCGAGGCTCCCACCGATTGCGCCTCCAGATTGCTCTGCTGCGAGGAGATTGACGGCCGCCTGTGGAAGTACTTTCCCGATGGCCGCGTGGATTGCGGCGCGATCAAATCGAGGAGCACCTCCATTCGCGCTGTTGGGTCGCAGAGCCCCCAACTTCCATTTCGTGTTAGTTTCCTTCTTCCTTGGGCACCGCTTTTATCTAATGCATGAACGGTTTGGTTTCGTTTCTGTTGTTCTTACTTTGTTTATCCATGTGATGCTCTCTAAGAAGTACTTGGTATTTAGTAGTGGACCTGATCTGACTTGGTGTTGCAATTTTTGATGCCTTATGTGGCTTTCAATTGTGGTTGTTACCTTCAATATACTAATTTCATGTCAAATTGACCGGCTTTTTTGTTTGTTTATGTAAAAAAAACTCGCATTAACAATGATCACTCGTAACATAGACACGATTTAATTTTTTGCTGTCCTGTGAGAACTGGCCGGCGTTAAATACCTCATGATTCATACCACTTTTGCACCCCTGGAAACTTATTCTATATCTGCAAATTAACCCTTGACATCGAGGGGAAGAGTCACCGGCTCACCGCTATCCCATTACCAAGATCATTCATCAAATAAAAATAATAGCCAAGAGTTCATTACTTTGAACGGTCCATGAAAAGAATCATATTTTTGTTATACTTCGCAACTCTAGCCATTACCACAATGAACATGTTTTTGTGCTAAAGCTATCCATCCAATCACATTTCTTGTACTCTGGTGTATTTTGTATTTGCTGCTTTGAGTGATAAATGATTTACGATTCATGCTCCAAGTGAAACGATGACATAAACCTGCAAATCAATAAATATAATTTTTAAAGAGCGTCGTTTGTCACAACAAATCTCAATTTATATGTATATGCGTGAAAGTGTGACTAAAACATGACGTGATGTTGTGCTTTGAGCAGGATCTGAAGTCATTTATAACATCTTATGTGGTTCCTGAAGGTTTCCCAGACAGCGTTATACCTTCATATGTGCCATACATGACCTGGAGGGCTCTAAAGGTATTATTACATTAGCATTGTGACTCAATATTACAAACCGGTAACATGCTTTTAATTTTCAATGGTTTGCTCTTTTTAACATTCAATGACAATCATTTTTTTCCTTGCAGTACTTTTGTGGAGGAGCAATGAGTGTTTTTACAACACAAACACTTCTAGGCTCAGTTGGAGTGTCTAAAAAGAATGCTGCTCAGAGTGCCGTAGCTATCAACTGGGTACTCAAGGTGCCCACTGCTTTCTATGAAATTGGCATTGCATGCTGTTTCCTATTATGGAGAATTGGTAAATGAATATGATTTTATATTTAACACACACAAATTAAAAGGTTTGCACGAATTGCAGGATGGTGCTGGCCGTATTGGAAAGATGCTTTTTTCACGTCAAGGAAAGAAATTTGATTATGATTTAAAACAGGTTCTTGTTACTTTTAGGTTGCTCTTTTCCGGTTGTTTTCAATGATTATGTTGTTAATGTTGCTTGCTGGGTGTTTTGGATGTATTGTCTTTTCAATTGCTGCTGACTAATGCTTTCATGTTTCTGTAATGCTATCCCTATCAGCTTAGGTTCACAGGAGATCTCTTCATGCAGCTGGGAGCTGCCGTCGAATTGGCTACTTCTGCTTTTCCCCAGCTTTTTCTTCCTTTAGCATGTGCAGCCAATGTGGCCAAGGTTATATTTCAGTTGTCTTACATGTGGCACAGTTTTGCTTGCAATCACTTATGCCTAGGTCTCTTCCAACATATATCTTAGTTTCTTTGTAGAATGTAGCTGCTGTCACATCAACATCAACTCGTACTCCTATATACAAGGCCTTTGCTAAAGGTGAAAACATTGGTGATGTAACTGCTAAAGGGGAGTGTGTGGCCAATCTTGCAGATCTGGTATGCTTCCCCAACTTCTTTCCCTTTTATTTATGGTTATGTTGAGCACTTGTCAAGTTAATTTAACATAAATGCATTCCAGAATCAATAAAATTAGCACATGGTCCCACTAACTAGCAAGTGGTAGCAAGTTATTTCCCGCCATTGTCATAGTTTTTTTTGGAAATAGAACTTAATTATACTTGCTATATACTCCGTATCAAATTGATTCCTTTGTGATAACACACTTGAAAAAGTCAGATGAAGAATGTGTCAAGACCTATGCACTATATCGTACCTTAAGTATGAGGATGAACAATTGTTTTTGTAAAGGATGAAGCCGTTAAGGAGAGGTGAGTAATTCTTTTCATAATTAGAAATAATTAGACGAGAAATGATTAAAGTGGAGGGATGTCATAGAAGTGCTAGGTGCAATAATGTGTGGTGAAAGTTAACGACAAATTGTCAAGGGTAGCAATGCAGTCAAATGAAAAGATGCCGATGATCAGAGGAGAGAGCATTTCGGTCAGTGGGGATTTAAAATGGCATGCCATTGATGATGTGGGATGAGGAGCAGCTGAGGTTGGACACGGATGCCTTAAATCTCTCTAAGGCCGAAGTACATAACATCTGATAGGTGTTCATGGTGACATCATGTTAGGTCTGCGTTTTGGGGGTGTTATCCATTACTTTGCTCATTTTCTTATATGTTTACTGACTTCTTCTCAGATGCCCATGACACTAATAAAATGGTAGTAATTGGACCGCGACACTAATAAGAGATGTTCATGCTTTCCAGCTTGCGTAAAAGTTTTAGAAACTCAAAGTGAACATGATTCCAGTTAAACTAATTTCTTTTTGATTTTTACTTGTGAAGCTTGGCACTGGGATGAGCATCATGATATCAAAAAATAACCCATCCTTAGTGACTGCATTTTCCCTCCTTTCATGTGGATATCTTTTCAGCTCTTACAATGAGGTTGGTGTGGTCATATTTGATTTGCCAAAGTCACATTGTTTTATCCACTAATTTGTTTATTTTATGGTGTATTTCCCAGGTGAAATCGGTTGTTCTGTGCAGTTTAAACAGTGCAAGATTTACTGTTGCAGTGGAATCCTACTTGAAGACAGGTTGGGTAGCTGTGCTTCTGCTCTCTCTCTCTCTCTCACACACACACACAGAAACAGTCACACACACACACCCACACCCACAGTACATTTTTAAAAATACCCCAAGATATGAATGGGATCCATAGATTTGCTGCTGCTGTGTATATGTACACTAAAAAAATACTCCCTCTATTCCACTAATTTTGGGGCATGAGGAGTGGGACAGGAATTAAGAAAAAATTGTATTGTATGGTTTATATTAATCTTAAAAAAGATAAAGTTAAAATGAATGTACAACGACAGTAACAACCCAGTTTGATCGAACAAGAGTAAGGTCTTGGGAGGATGTGTGTAGACAGACCTTTCCCCTACTTGGAAGTAGAGAGACCGTTTTCAAGAGACTCCCGAGTAACATATGCAAGTAACATATGCAACATCTTGGCAAAAAAAGTAAGAATGAACGTGAACCATACAAATATGACCAGGTATGGTATGAGACAAAAATAGTTAGACGAATAGGAAAAGGTAAAAAAGTGGGATGCAATTACAGGGCATTTGGCAAAACTTATACTGTACTTTTGGATGTGATTAGCATTCATTGTTTTCAATTCTGAAGAATCCATTTAGCAAAATAATACTTTCCAAACACCTTTTGATCTTTTGCTAAGTAGGTTCTTTGCTTTTGCTCTCTAGGTAGAGTTCCAACATTGCAGGAAGGAAATTCAATGGAAAGTGTGTTTAGCTTCCCATGGAAGAAACAGAGACCTATTGTTCTTGGTAAATTTCTTCCCTGCTACCACACACACAAACATTANATTTGGCAAAACTTATACTGTACTTTTGGATGTGATTAGCATTCATTGTTTTCAATTCTGAAGAATCCATTTAGCAAAATAATACTTTCCAAACACCTTTTGATCTTTTGCTAAGTAGGTTCTTTGCTTTTGCTCTCTAGGTAGAGTTCCAACATTGCAGGAAGGAAATTCAATGGAAAGTGTGTTTAGCTTCCCATGGAAGAAACAGAGACCTATTGTTCTTGGTAAATTTCTTCCCTGCTACCACACACACAAACATTACAGTGTGTAACATTGTTCTGTTTGCTTCCAGGTCCAAGATTCAAAGAGGCATTTCAAGATCCTGACTCTTATCTTTCTTTGAAGCCTATTTTTGAAGTACAAATAAAACTTAGAAATCTCATATTTACATTCTTATTGATGAATTGAATGCTATTTATGTTAAAAAATTCTCACGTCTGACAAAAGTACATCTCTATCTTTTTACTGTAAACAGAGGGAACAATATATTGTGACATACAATCCTTTGAAGGGTAACATATATGCGTTGTTTAAGGATAAAGCAAAATCTGATGATGTGCTCAAAGCTGCTTTCCATGTGAGGTTTCTGACTTTGATGGTTTAATGTCTGCCTATGGTTTGTGTCTTTTTTCACCTAATTAACCATTGTAATTCAGGCACATGTTCTTCTGCACTTCATTAAGTCATCCGAGCATCAGTCTTTGTCCAGGAACCAAATGCAGGACAATCACTCTCTTTCTTTGACCTCAAGCGCTAATTTTAATGCTCAAGTTGCAGAATCTTATAAAATGGTCTCAGCTCTGTATGCACCTTTTAAGAATAAAGCCAAAGAACAGGTTAGATAAACTTTGTGTCCACACGATATTTTGATGTATGCTTTCAAATTGCCTAGCAAAAACTAGGAATACAATATAATAACTCCCTCCATACCAAAAAAGACATTCGAGTATAACCTTTTTAGTCAACTCAGTCAAGGTACATGCTTTCACAAGTTAAATGTGGTCACCTATGCTCTGTATGTTATACGATTACACCCTAAAACTTTTTTCCAAGATTGTTAAGAGTAATTGGTTAAAACTGCTTGACATTACATGTTTTTTAAAATAAAAAGATGATGTTGACATTGAAAATCGGATTCTCATATTGGGACAAAAATGTTCTCGAAAAATGATTCTTTTTTTGGGATAATGAAACACTATTGTCACATTAAAAATCCTCCCTCCCCAATTTAATCCGAAGTCCAAGCTTGATCGTAAAAAAGTAATGTTATGTTACCGAGGTTGTCAGATTACTTCAACCAAAACATGGTCATGTTACATTACCTTCTAATGCCACAATTTGCAGGACAAACACCTTGTGAATGTTGTCCTGGTTTGGATGTTTGTAACTGCAACATACCTCTACTTCTATTGGCATGTAACTTTCAATTACTCATTGTGCACATTCACAGTATCTATTTATTCTTGCAGGGGTGGGTAATGTCAGAATCACTGCTTAATCCCGGTCGAGCACGCCTTTGTGAAGCTGTCGAATAAAAATGTTTTTCGCCCTTCCAAATATTGACGAAAAAGTTTTGTGAAAGTGTATCATAGTAAACCAGCTTAAGACAGACAACAGACATTTCTTTGCTCATCAACACAGATGATTTGTACCTGTATGTAGTAGCTTGGATTATCTCAATGCAAGCAGGAAATATGCCACCTGCTTTTTATTACCAGAGGGTTGATAGCATATGTAATAGTTATTTTTTTTTAATTATAATTTTTTTTCTTAAATGCGTAATTTCTAGTGGGGTGGTTTTGTAAGTGTGTAACAATTTATTTGTTCTACTACCAAGTACAAGAGCAATGTGTAAACTCGATCAACACAATCCCTGTAGGTATATACGTTAAGCTTCTCATGATTCTTGAGGACAGAGTTTTCTACCATTTGTGTTGAAAAACAATCTCTATGAGGGTGCATTTTATATGACTTTATGAAAAAGACTAGTGTTAATCCCGTGCTTCGCGTATACAATCTAAATTTTTTACAATAAAATCACAGGGAAAGACCAAAATATGAGCAAAGTATATGGAAAGAACCAACATAGTCTAATAAAATATACTATATAATACTACCTCCGTCCCATTGTCTTTGTCCAGTTTTGACTTTTGGAACTGTTCATCTACTCATCAAATTCTCTCAATGTGTAAGCCTAAAAATAGTCATGTGTGATCTTGTTTGATTCGTCTTAATATACAAATTACAAGATAAAATGGATTAAAGAAGTGCATTGGATGGTGTGCCAAAAGGTAAGTGGACAAAGACAGTGGGACGGAAGGAGTACTCTCTTTGTTCCAAAGGAATATTTCCACTTTTACTTTTCTTTCCAATTTCCTTAAACATAGTGGAAGTGAAACTAACTAAACAAAGTAGGACAGCTAACATGAGATCAGATCATCTTCACTTGCTGCAACATGCCCTTAATTTTATAGGGTCTCATAAGTTTAGGGCAGTTGCATGCCCTTCTTGGGGCAAAGGGTATTCTTATTGTTGTGCATCCACACTTTGAGAACTCTCCTCTTCACCCCAACCTCTTGGCAGAACTGCTGCACCACTGGCTCCTCCTCCTTGTGTATCTTCCACCCTACCCTCTCTGCAAACTTGACCATTTTGTCCTTCTGCTCCTGGCTGAACTTTGTCCTGTGCCTCTTCTTCACCCCTGCCCCGCCGTCGTGTGGCTCCAATACGATGGCCTGTTGGGGTGGCCCACCAAACAGAGCGTTGTCGTGGTGGCCCACCGGGCAGACCTTCGTATTGAGATGTGGGCCCGAGGTGTAGTGGTGGGATAGCCCGCTGTCGTGTGGCTCAAATACGATGGCCTGCTGGGGTGGCCCACGAGACAGAGAGTTGTCGTGGTGGCCCACCGGGCAGACCTGCGTATTGAGATGTGGGCCCGAGGTGTGGTGGTAGTGGAAATGGCCTACCAATTCTTTCCTGTGGAAATTTCTGTGGCAATTGCAGGCAGAGCAAGTGAGGGATTCAAGGCTTCCTTCCTCACCATTGGGCATGAACTCACCACACCCATCAATGGCTATCCCTCCCATGGCAGCAGCATGGTTCTTCAGGCACTCCCTGTACCTGTACTTGATGTTGGCCATCTTCTTGTGGGTCCCCATCCCTTGGTGGGCCATTGTGGGTCCATCATTACAAGATGGGATCTTTATGTGGTTGTGCATCATTTGGTGGTGGTGGTAGTGGTGGTGGTGGGGATGGCCACCACCACCATATGTGCTGTTGATGGGAATTGCCATTTCTGCATCCTCATTACTTGGTTGAATCTCCATTCTTTTTTTTTGTTTGGAGACCAAAAAGATTAGATTTTTTTTAATAACAAAAAGGAAACAAAGAAAACCCAATATGGGATTTTAGCTTCTTGAAAAATGTCCACTTATTTGGGAACAAATGGGAGAGACCACATGCAAAAACAACTAATTATTGACAGAAATAAAATTTGAGAACTTTTCTTGAAATTCAGAGTGAAATATTAAAGGATTAGATATGCCTTATTATCAGAGTGATCATATATAATATGTGAACTTGAAGAGAGCATAAAGTAGAGAGAATATGAGAAATTGAAAGCATTAAGGGTTTTGAATGCTTTTGACTCATTCATTCATTGCCTTTAAGAAGCAGATCAGATGAAAGTGATAGAGGGGGGGGGGGGGG